CATTACAGGCGAAAACAAAAAGAAGAAAAGTAATGAAAAGCTACGAGTGCAAACTTCCACAGAATCTCGGACAGTTTCTCAATTATTTCAAAACGCACGTCTAACTTGCATGCCGAACCAATTCCCTGCGCGCTACCACTCCTGTATACATTGTAAACATTGTATGAATATGAATACAGATTTATTTATTTGTGTTACTTATGCATATTAAACATTAACATCAAAATATGCTTTAGCATGGAAAGAGTATCAGCTTGAGAAACATCGTTAATAATGAGCGAGTGGTAGCTCCGTTGAACGATATGCAGTCAAATTCCAAAAAGTCGTGATTACATTACTACGCCATTACATTTGGTGAAATCATCGAGGAGTAATGAGCATCTAATATATCTAACATTACAGCAATAAACCAGACACCATTTATGCGCATTGTAAAATTGCGTTATTTGAGGGTACACTGCATGCAGTGAAAAATTATATCTACCACAGACGCATTTGCAGCAAAAACATGTCAGGCTCTGTGCCACTACGTCGCGCATATACGGAAGACAGTGATGATCGTAAGAAACAGATATACAAAATTAGTGAATACAAGAATTGAGAACTATGTGATACAGGCGACTGCAGTGTTGATGAAACTGGTTGAATCGTAAGGCCGTTCAACTAGCTAAAAAACAAGATTGACATGAAAAACGGACAGGTTTGCGGCCAAGTGAACAAACCAGATGTTAGACAGAAATGTAAGGAAGAATGAGGTACTAACGCTTTACACGCTTCTTGTTATTTCACTAGAAAATTATAATCAAATAATCAACACTGAGTCGATATCAGAGTCGTCCGCTGCTCACCTGAATGCTTCCGACAGTAGTTGAAGGTATTAAAGAAAACGCGATTTTTAAGCAGGAAAATGACTTTTTAAATGCCACTAATTACTGCCACAGGTTAATAAATTACAGTGCACAACTTAACTCAAACGTTAATGACACTTATTACAAGCAACTTTAACTTTAAACTCCGCAATCTTCAACAAGTTCAAGAAAAATGTTCAAGATCTGTTAGATTCGTTTCAAACCTCCACGCAAACCTGAATATGAACACATACTTGTCATGTTATTTGAGTTACAAAACTAAAACTAAAACATGTTAGATACAATAGAAACGGTAAGTAATAATTAACCTATGAAAACTACAGCAACATGATCGATACAACGGCCATCTCTACATCTGCATATATGCATCCATTCCCAATGACATACATATATGACTAGAAGTCCTTAAAACGATCACTAGAAACAGTGACTGAGGAGCGTCGCTGACGTCAAGGGATAAGTTAAGATGCCTGCATGGCTAAAAACGTCATTAGCATAAGACTCGTCTATTGCATGACAGATCATTGCAATTGGTGATCAGTGGTGAATCTCATCGAGCCTCATCGGGTGTTTAACGATGTCTAACGGACATCAAACAACAATGCTCTAATTTGATTGACGTGACGAGTCTTCTTCCACTTTATCTGTACAAACTTTGCTTTGTGACTTTGTACTGGCTTCATTACCGATTCGACGTCTGATGATTTTTGTAAAAAATGGAATTCTTGGGTGAATTCATTCAAGCAGTAGAAATTAATTAATTCATTAATACAGAATATCGTGAAATCTGCTGTTGGTGATGTTACGCCATGACATATTCCCACGTAAGAACTTACGTTGATTTTTAAGCGGTAGCGTATAAGAGGTAACATTTGCTGAAACATCTCCCATGAGGAGCTTTCCGTTGCTCTAAAGGACAAACTGATGCGAGATGCATGTTGGCACTACAGGTGTTCAAATTTCACGGAGTTTCTGCGAGCTTAAATCGCCCCCCTAAAGAACACCGCAGCACCGCCTTTTCGCAGCCGGAAAGAAATACGCACCCTTAAT